GGGTCGTCTCAAAAGTGGCTCACCCCCTATAACTTTTTTATTTTTTCAGATAAAAAAAACAGATTTGTATGTTATAGGTATATGACATAAATTAGGATTTATTGATGTATTCAGTTGTTTTTGGTCTCTTCCTGTTTCACCGAAATGATTACATCTTTTTATTTTTAAAGGCAACCTCGGTATATTGCTACTTTATTCGATAAAAAATGACACTCTGAATAGAATGACATATCATATGTCAACTTTTGACATTGTCGCTGAAAAACAAATCGTATTTTAAATTTCAATCCAGGGTGCCATGGTGTTGTTAAAAACACTAAGTTTTAATCAAGGAGCCTTGGAAAAATAGTTTTGATCGTCTAATAGGTTTCGTGTCTTGTCTAAGTCGGTTAAAATATGTACAAATCGTATTTTTAATCATACATATGTCAATTTTTTCAAACGGAACAAGGGTGACTCATTAGCATATTTGGAAAAAGCATTTTTTATGAATATATTGATACCACACACTTGGTATTTCGAGTCAAATTGTCGTTATGAACCGCGTGTTACAATTACAATTAACCATATGCGAAAATGTCAAAAGTTGACATATGATATGTAATTCTATTCAGAGTGTCATTTTCTATCGAATAAAGTAGAAATATACCGAGGGCGCCGTTTAAAAATTAAAAGTTATAGTCATTTCCGGTTAAAAAGGAAGTGACCAAAAACAATTGAATGCGTCAATCAATCCTAATTTATTTCATATACTAACATACTAAATCTTGTTTTTTTATTTGAAAATATAAAAAAATTATGGGGGATGAGCCACTTTTGAGACGCACCTGGTATAATAAAGACAGTACCGAGTTAAATAAATGTAGTTTTTATTTTATCACCTTCCTTGCTTTAATGGAACAGATTTATGTTTTCTCTAATTTACATAATAAGACATCACTTAACCAGAAACAAAATTACAACAATCATATTTTTTTTTCTCTCCCTGTCGCCGATTCTATTATATCTGTGGAATAGATCCTGTTTTGATTAATATTAGGGGTTGTAAATGTTTGACTAAAATTAATAATTTATTATTAATTTCAAAAATTACCTAATTTCAATTATAAAATTTCTTCTATAACGTGTATTTTATTATTTTTATCCTTTTTGGACTCTAAATTGTTTTTTCTAAACTTATATTTAAAAAACCTGTCCTAAATCTTAATAAAATATAAAAAAGTTTAAATACGATATATTTTTAATTTAATTATAGCTTCATTAAAATAAAAAAATTACCCGGCTATGATACGGAGAGTTCAGGTGTACTTGAGAAACGAAAGTTTGTGTTGTGTTTCTCGGCAGAGTCGTCAGGGAACGACCGTTACGACAGAGACAACCTATCTATCGCTCGTGTCGCACTCGTTATAACCTAAAACAATAACACAACAATAACAAGACAGTGTCTGACCGCATGTTCCAGCTATTTATGAATGAGATGCTCAGTCTATATTTTATTTTAAGTCTATGGAAATATCAATAGAAGTACATAATATAAAAAATATTCTTTTTTTAATTTACAGTGGCTTTTAAACGAAACTTTTTATGAAAAAAAACTTGGACGAAATTTTATTTTTAATTACGTTTTTCTGCTTTCAATACAATAACATTCAAAAATATGACGTAGATATATGAAATGACGACGATATTAACTTAAATAACAAACAATTTGGTAGAAAATGGCATATGCTTCTTACTTAATGTGTAAACATAGAATTTTATCTTTACATTTGGTGTTAAATTGGCTGGTTTTTATAAGACTTTCTTTGTAGATAACTAAAAGTAGTTAAAACTAATTGAATGTCTAAAACTGCATTATAGCCTGTTAAACAGGTTTTTAGCATTAATTTTGCTGTTAAAGATATTTAAATTGTCACGTACAGGGTGTTTCTTATCGACAGTGCTTTATTAGGGCAAGATTAGATTATTAGGGAAATATGTCATTTTTATTACACAGGGTGGGTCTTAAAAAAGTGTAAATATTTTCAGGGTTTTTCAAATCGGTTCAAAATAGTCAACTTATTTTACTTTAAAAAAATTTAAAAATTAGTTTTTCTTAAATTTTGAGAACCACCGGATTTTTTCTGATTTTTTGGGCCTCTAAATTTAATATACTACCCATGTTGCCAAGTTAGCAAGACATAATAATTTTTTACTGAAAATTTAACAAAAATATCGAAACATTTTCAACAATTTTCTACAAAGTTTTATATTTTTATGGCTTTTCTTTTTGATGCTTAGACATTTTTTACACTTTTGAAAATATTTTTGAATTACAGAACAAAATAATATTACAAAATAGGTTTATTGAAGACCGTCTTAAATGTCAATAATTGTCTTTATTAAAAGTTCTAGGTTTGTGGAGTAAAAATTCAATGAGGTTATGTTGAATAAACATTTGTTTTGTCTCTGTATGTACTTTTTTTTTAATTTATTTATTCTTTCTTGTTTTTTATTATATTTTTATTTAAATTTTTATATTTTATTTAAAACTTTTTTTTTATTAACAATCAGATAAATTATAATAGCATACAGGGTTGTTCACCACATACGACACGGAGTATTGTAGCTAAACGATGAGATTTTTACAAATTGTAAGTTTTGGGTTCGATTGTAAGTTTTAGGTTCGATATACTTAAACCTTACCGTTTTTGAAATATTTTCAATTTTGTGAAATTGCAGTAAAAATTTTAAAGCTTCATTTCTCCAAGGGTATCAAAGTTTTTAATACTAAATATTTAATGAAGTTTATTTACTGATCAGTTATTGTGTTGCAATAATAAAAATAATACTACCTTATACAGAGTGTCTAAAAATTTATTTTAAATAATTATTAGCTTCAAACGGCAATAACTTGTTTAATTTAAATGGAATACCCTGTATATTTACGAGAATCAGATGCACAATTTAATTGTCTATCAAATTATATTATACCATTTTTTACCTATCTCTTTAAGTTTCAGAAAATGCATTTTCTTTTTAATTTAGAACTTATTTATCAATATACCCATGGACTATTGACATTTTAGATTATTTTAAAAGATGTACCAAATTTTTAAAGAGTACAGATACTAATATTGTCGATATAATTCGTTTATTTCATTAAAGAATAAAAAAACTGTTTAAATATTTGTTAAAGAGGTACCAATTAATATGATTCCAGTATTCAAACTACATTAACTGACTGTTTGCGTTGATTAATAATAATTGCTCCAAATACTAAAAACTGAATTTTGTGTGGGCATTAGACAGTGGATAAAAAGTAACACCTTAAAAATGATATTTCATTTTTTTAATATGCTTATTTATAACAACATTTTATTGTGGGCATTAGACAGTGTGATAAAAAGTAACACCTTAAAAATGATATTTCATTTTTTAATAAATGCTTATTTATAACAACAGAGACTTTAATTTGATAACTTATTATTATATTGATTTCTGACTCAAATCCTTATTTATTTATAATAATTTATTAACGAACACAATTAAGTATGTAATTAATTAGTATATGGGCGGAAATAATGGTGTTATATTTAATTAATGGTATACTCTTTTAAAAAGATTTAAATAGTTTTCTTTTTGCATACAAATGAGCTAGTAATATTATCGTTTTGCTAAAAACGATAATATTACTAGTCTGTACATTTTGTACATTTGTTGCTTTAAAAACAATCTAAAATGTCAATATTCCATGGATATATTGATAAATGAGGTCTAAATTATAAGAAAATGCATTTTCTACGAAAACTTGAAGGGATAGGTAAAAAATGGTATAATACAATTTGATAGACAATTTAATTGTGCATCTGATTCTCCTAAAATATACAGGGCATTCTATTTAAATTAAAGAAGTTATTGCCGTTTGAAGCTAATAATTATTTAAAATAAATTTTTAGACACTCTGTATAAGGTAGTATTATTTTTATTATTGCAACATAATAACTGATCAATAAATAAACTTCATTAAATATTTAGTATTAAAATTAAAAACATTGATACCCTTGGAGAAATGAAGCTTTAAAATGTTTACTGGCAATTTCACAAAATTGAAAATATTTCTAAAACGGTAAGGTTTAAGTATAATAAACCTTAATCAAATTTACCTTTATTTAGTCGTAGAAACTAAAAATGTAATAATATACAGGGTGTTCCATTTAAAAAAATACAACTTTGATATTTTTTATTTATTTGGGACACTCTGTATCTTGTAAAAATATTTTTAAATTGTAGCTCTAATAGTCCTTCAACGAACCCCAAACTTACAATTTGTAAAAATCTCATCGTTTAGCTACAATACTCCGTGTCGTATGTGGTGAACAACCCTGTATATGTATTTAAATACAACTTAATAAATAAAACTTGCGAAAATATTACTTTATACATCTTTAAAGTCAAAATTTCCTCTTTTATGTAAAAACTTATTTGGTCCAGAATGCACATGATAACAAATTTGTTTGATCAAAACTTCAGATATATCTTTTAAACATTATTTATGTATTTTTGTTGTGAAATGGGTCTCCGTAGATTCTCAATCTAGTTGCTATTGAAACAAAGGAGTAATTAAATGTTTTAACATATTAAGGAGCGAAAAAATGTCTGGCAAAGATAAAATTTGTATTTTAATAACGTTATGAAACTAAACACAATTGACAAAAACATTCCTTTAACCCAGGGGTCAACTTTGACGCCAATCTGGCATTGAGACCGAGTTATTTCACTACAAACATGCCCGTTTCGCTACTCTAACGTCCACTTGTTGATTCGGACAATTTTAAACGCCAAATTAGAACAGTTTATCCGCAAATTGTGCCGTTTACTTCACAAAAATTACTCTTACCAGATGCTAACGTCTTGAATAAACGGTTCTCTGGTCAAATTAACAATCATTTAGCGCCTAATTTAAATATTATTATCACATATTGACTGTTATTTGCATTAATTAATGAATAAAACGTTACCTTATTATGTAAGAATTTTATTAAAAACGTTATCCAAAAAAGAAAGCTATCCTGTGTAGCGTCACCAACACTGTCGAAGCACTAAAAACTTTTCGAAGCTTTTGCCAAGCTTCGAAGCACTTGTTTTCTGGTAGTACTACAGACTAGGTTTATTTTCGTTTATCTAGCACGTGTACGGTCGGTATTTTGGCTAGGTAGTACTGTCACTGAATTATCGTAGTTGACATTCTGCTGGTAGTTGGTCTGGGATGAGCGAACCCAAGCCAATTTCGGTATTCGAGCGTCGTACTCTTGAACTGGTCGCGGTACGGCAGTAGTCTTTTTCTTTATGTTACGGCTGTGTTGACTGCGAGGTTGTCAGATGGTGCAGCCGGTATTTCTTGGAAAAATCCGATATTCTTTGGTATCTGAATTTTGTTATTATTAAGTCTAGAATGGAATTGACTTGTATTGTATGACTATAGAACACAAGGAAGTGACCAAATTGTTACCAGCTGATACAAAAGCATTTGGTCAGTGCCGTGCCAGAGGGTTAATATAAAAATTGCATTATTAATGGTTTCACAAATTATTTTTTTAAATTATTGTTCGATGCTTTTAATTTTATTTTTTACATGTCTGCCTTATATTATAAAATTGATTATTCAATTTTTTAGATTGGGGGGTTTACAAAATTTAATTTATCTAGTACTTACTGTTTATATTTATATTTTTGATAAAAGTCTCGCTTACGCCTATGGAGGATGCTGCTTTTTTAGATGGTTAGGTGGTTTTACTAAAAAAAAATTCAAAAATTTTTTCAAAAATTCTAAATTTTCAGTTTTTTTTCGTGAGAAAAAAACTTATAATCGTGTTTCTGGGGTCGAAATATATTACCAGTAAAAATATTTGCACTTATTTAAGACTCATCCTGTACGATATCACTCAGGTAGATCTCGAAAAGAAAAAAGAAACATATTTTTTCTTTACCATTTTCCAAATAAGTCCAAAATAACATTAAAAAATCTGTAAAACTCTTCAGCCACCCTAACCACTGGATCTTTTCTTGGTGTTCTTTTGATTTTTAACTAAAAATTAAAAAAAAAATCAATCATTTTTTTCAAAAAATTCAAAATTCCTAAAAAATATTTCAAGAAATTCAACATTTTCAAAAAAAATTTTGGCGGAATTATATAGACGTGTTTTTGGGGTCGAAATATACTACCCCCAAAAATATTTGCACCTGTTATATATTAGAGTCTTATTATACAGGGTGTCCCAGAAATAAGTGCAAGTATTTTAACTGGTAGTATAGTTCAACACCAGAAACCCCAGAAGGTTTTTTTCGCGAAAAAAAAAATCTGAAAATTCGAAATTTTTTAAAAAGTTTTTGGAATTTTTTTTAGTTTTTAGTTAAAAAACATAATTTTTTGATAATATGGCAACATAGGTATTAGATTAAATTTACAAGAAAGAAAATCCAGAAAAGATCCAGTGTTTCTCAAAATTTTAGCAAAAAATCATTTTTTTTTGGAAATTTTTAATGTAAAATAACTCCGTTATTTTTGACTTGTTTGAAGAACGATAAAGAAAAAATATCTTTCTTTTATCGAGATCTACCACCCCTTAAAATACTTGCACTTATTTCTGGGACACCCTGTATAAGACTCGCTCTCTATAAAAAAACGCTTTCTGTGTTATCCTGGGCTAAGGCGTTTAAAGCGTTTTTTAAGATTAGAAACAAAATAACGAACATATTCGAGAATCTAAAAAATACATGGGCGAATAACACCTGCAACCAAATTGTTACCATACCACCAAACAGTGCCGTGGCACATATTTTTCCTAACATAGCCGCTTGAAGATATATTTATATTTTTGATAAATGTTTTGACTACGCCTATGGTGTATGCGGTGGTATCATACTAATTAATCACGAAAAAAACGTATTAAAATGTTAAGAAAAGGTACAAAACTAGTATCGATGTATAGCACATATCAAGTACGTAATACGTACCGTATGATCGAGAAAAAACGGCGTCAGCGATGGCTATGAAATGAAGATCGCTGTCATTTTATATGTAAATGTATATGGGAAATGTCATCGATCGTCATTTCCCAGCCAACTGGACGCCGTTTTTTTTTCGATCATACGGTACTTGATATGTGCTATACATTATAATTATTATCAGAAAAATAATTATCGAATTCAATAAAAAAAACTCTAAAAAGGTGGAGTGGACTGTTTATTTACCTATGAAACGTAACTCCTGGCTCTTTCTTATCGCTGCTAACAACTATCACCATTGTAATAAAGTTTATACAAAGTTCACTACACACAAACTATTAAAAATCGCCAAAATTGTCGCTAATGACCAGCTGATGACTCATTCGTTACAACCATAAAAATGGGGTCAATCATCACAAATTCTACTGCAACCACTAGTCTTTGTATTCTTTAGTCATTGGTTATTGGTATAGCATTTAGCGCCATTTAATATATAAAAAATACGCTTTAAACGCTTTACACGCTAAAACGCTTTTGGCCAAAAAAAAGTTTGGCGAAGAGATACGTATAATTTAATGAAATACTATAATCATTATAGCTATAATAATAATAAATAAGTAGCAACCTTGCAATTTTCTGTTTTCTATTTATATTATTTGATTGAAACTAAAATTACACAATATAAATTTCGACATAGACCTAACCCTTACATTTTTAATCTCTACAGTCGTAACGATTTAGTTTAATTCGTTCAAAAAAACTAAAAATAAATTTCCCCAAATTCCAAGAAAACACGTAAGGTACGGCAACGTCGCGACAGTACTTAAGTAGAAAGGATCTTGGTAGGGGATCGTACCGTCTCCCTCTCGCTCACTGCAGACCGGTTTCCGTCACGTTCTACCGCTCCACAGCCGACTATTCACACCGAAAGAATGTTGTAATTTTTACCATTTTCTTCGTAACAAAGGGCATTTTGAAGAAATCCGACTGCATGTGCGACTTGGCTCTGCGTCTGCTGTATCAATATGAGTCGGTGGTACAGTCACAGTCAGTGGCTGGAAATACCGAATACCGGCATATTGTTTTAGGAACTAGGTTCTAAAAGTTTTTATCTCCGTTTTGGGATGTTTTATCGATTTTTGTCTCGAAATTGAGGTTTGGGTTTCGTACCTGGAAGTTTAGGGGTGGAAAGTTTACAGAATATACCTTTTGGAAGGGTTGATTGTGAAGGGAACATTTTATTATACCTACCTACCTTCATTTTTATTGGTTTTATGCACTTAGATATCTCTTTTAACAAGAAATACGTGAAATATAGCAGGTTTTAATTTTAGATAAGTCTAAGATAGGAGATATTACATCCCACTATACAGGGTGTGTCTTAAAAAGTACACACGTCTATGAGATTTTTTCGCATTTTTTTTTAAATTTTGTACCTTCCAATTTTTTATTTTTTTTATTTTCAGTTAAAAAAAATAATAATTTGAAAATATGGCAACATAGGTAGTAGAAAAAATCCAGTGGTTCTCAAAATTCAAGCAAATTTAAGCAATAATAGTATATTGCTTTATTAGGAGTAAAAATGACACTTTAAGGTGGCGAGGCTGTACATTTGACACAGCCGAGGCACAAAAAGTCATTTTTACTCCGAATAGAACATGCCATTTTTTTTCAAACCCCACAAATCTTTTTTTAAACAATTTCAAATGTTCCAATTGTGATTAATAAATTTTTGAAAATCCGAAATTTTTTGAAAAAGTTTTTGGAAATTTTTTTAGTTTTTAGTAAAAAAACATAATTTCTTGATAATATGGCAACATAGGTATTAGATTAAATTTACAAGAAAGAAAATCCAGAAAAGATCCAGTGGTTCTCAAAATTTTAGCAAAAAATCATTTTTTTTGGAAATTTTCAAACCAAACCAAACTCCGTTACTTTGGACTTATTTGAAAAACGATAAATAGAAAATATGTTTCTTTTATCGAGATCTTTATCAAAATACTTGCACTTATTTCTGGGACACCCTGTATATCGAGAAATTATGGTTACGCTCGTTGAATTCGACACTGTTCGACACTTTATGTCAGTTTAATAACATAGATAAAAGAAAATAATCTTCTATTAAGATAGATATTAAACTTAATAATTTTGGGTCAAAGCGCCCCTCCGTGTTCTTAGTAGAGACTACGTTTAACCCAGCGCCTTCGCCTTTTCTGCTGTAAATATTTTTTATGTTTATATTTGATTTCAAAGGATTTAGTTTTAAAGTTACACTGATAATTAGTATATCAGAGTAACTTTAATAAAACATAAGAATATATATATATTTTACATTTTATTAAATATAAATTTTGACTACAAGGTAGAAAGTTAATCACAATATTTGAAAAAACTTATAAGTATACCATTTTTACAGTTAATAAATAATAAAACTATTTCTGACTATATTTAAAATTTAGATAGATAGAATATTAAAAAACATACCTGTATTTGCAGACGCAGGCTCAAAATCAATAAAAACCAAAATTTTTCCTGCGAAAATCGGGCGTTTTTCACAGAAAAGGTATTTTTTGATTTATCACAAAGAATATACATAGCTAGAAAAAGAATGGACTCTGCCATACTGAAAAATGGTCCTATAGAAGTGGCGCCATCCATTGAGTAGGGCTTGTTTTAGATGGATCGAAGCGCGGGCTTTTTAAATGAGCGTATTTATTGAATTTTACTCTAAAATAATTAAATTTGATTATTAAATCATATTTTTTACACATCACATCGTTGTGATGTGTAAAAAATAAAATTTAACAGTATAATTTATACAATTATTAAATAAAATTAAAGCCAAACGTGTTAATATTATTTATTATTTAAAGTTTTTATTTATAAGTCAAATATTTAAACATCGTTTATTATAATAAAACAAGACCAACGTAATACGCCCAAAGTTTTGTAAATGGAGTAAATATAAATAGGTACTTAAATGATGGCAAACATAAAAGACTTACATTATATTTTTAGGGCCACAAACAACAGGAATTGTCTAATTAAAACACATATAACAAATTATAGTTTGAAAAACGTTTTGATAATCATTTGATAATATTATGATTGGCGCTATGACAACGACGATATTTTTTGAGAGTTTGACAATAGTATGACAATGGCTGTTGGAAACTATGGAAACTACAAAAAAATTCTGATTTAACGCCATCTGGCAATAACTAATAGCAACTTCTTAACCTAAAAATTAATTGCACTACCACCTAGCGCCTGAGGCTGGAACTATTTTATTTGAAATTTCCGTGGAAACGGTGGAACCGCTTTTGCTATTTCACTTTCCCGCCCCTGATTTATCAACAATCATTGTCAAGTTGACAATA